TGACAGTAGGTAAGCGTGATAAGGGGTGGACTAATGACTGCTTCGGGGACCGAAAGCCTTGTACGGGAAAGGGGGAAGAGTGTAAACAACCTCCGTGTTACGGCCCTAGACAATTAATTACTTATCTATAACTCCATAACAGAATAGAATAATTTATTATGATTAAGTTGGGAAAAAGGCCCATAGTCCGTGGATCCCCTGCCCTAAAAGGCCATACCTAATCCTAGAAGGATTAAACCCCATAGCATATAAATAAGAGAATTAGAAGGCATTTAAGAAGCCGCACCACAATAATCTCCTCGCCACCCAGTTAAAGAGTCCGCCTAAAGAATATCCGGCTAGGAGGAAATTAAGAAATCAAAGAAAGCTTAAGAAGATTCTTCATATTCAAAGGAATTAATTAAGGTTCTAAAGAGATAACAATTGTCTCAACAAAACCTAATTTTCAATTAGTTATGATTCCCCTTAGGTTCCCCATATTATTGTGATGGATTGTTGTGATTATTATTGATGTTGATTTAATCATTCCATGGGGAATCTTGATAATCTGATTATTGGGAGTTTCTTGATAATGTTATGATGTTGCCTATGATGATTATTGGATTTTGAATGATTATTGTGCTGTTCTTGATAATTATGATGTTTTGATGATTAATTGGTATCCTTGATGATCTGAATTTTCGTGAATTGTCTTTCCGTCAGATATCACTAGCATTTCTATTGGATCTCAAAGCATTTGAGACAGGCTGAACTCGTATTCTTAGTATAGACATTTAAATATTGGCGCAATAAGTGATTAGAACGCGCTAGGTTGTACGTATGCTGTTGATCTCCTTGGATTATCGGGTGGGACAAATCACAGGTGTATTACAGCAAACAATGGATATGAAGTGATTAGTTTTAGAAAAGACACGATGAATCCGTGTTATAGAGTGCCACTAGGATATTCCGTTTCGCGTATTTGATTAGTTAATTGTCTACGATGTTGTCGTTAAGTCGCTCGTTGTGCGTTGCTTATAAAAAGCATCGACTCTGACAAGATGACAGATTATATATTACTGTTGCGCCGCAACCAAACGATTACCGCGGCGAGCGAAGTGATGAAGAATGAGTTAGTGGGGGCAGGTGGGGTAGGGGACCCAGCCACACCCGGCCGCGTATTTTCTACGGGGCAAGTTTCGCGGCACGATAATGCTGGAACGGCGGGCAGCGCAGCTGCCCGCACGGGCACTCGGCCTTGTGCAAAAGCGCTGCCCGGCAACAGTGACAGTGGCCGGGTGGACCCCACCCATGCAGCACCGCTTGGAATTTATCCTACTCCGGGTCCCCGGCTTCCCGTTTGATGTCTTCCCCGATCCGCCGTGGGTGTCCCAATCGGAGCTCCCCGTTTGTCGTTGGCTGATGTCCTAGTTTGAATGTTTTCGGGTACCGGTTCGTTAAGGTTCTATGAGTCGCGTTATATCGGCATGCTAGTTTGAATTGGTATCCCGTTAGCCTAAGTGAAAGAAGTATGAAACCCTTAGGACTTTCTTATTATGTGATGGATCACGCATAGGTTTTTATACGCTTTAATTCCGCCTTCCCAATGTGTAATGTGGGTTGCATGTGCTTGTTATCGATGTTTGTGTGTGTGTTACACCAATTCGGTTGTCGATCGGGTTTGGTTATCCTGAGCTGCGGTTACAGAAAGGTCTGTGCGGTCAGATTGGTATGTCCTGGCTGCGGTCAGTATGACATTCTCTTGGCTGCGGCTCCACCGTTTGGTTGGCGATGAAACGTTTCTATACGAGCTGGCGGTTTCGTCCTTTTTTCCTGGTGCGGTCAGATGACCTCTCTCGGGCCTGCGGTCGACTGTTTGGTTGCGATCAAAAATATGAATGAGCTGCGGTTTCATCAGGTGGGTTTGCGTCGACCTCCCGGGACCGACGTCCCCGCCACCGCCTGGCCCGCCGGGGCACGCTCGCCGCCGTAGACGCCCCCCGCGCCGGCGACGAGCCCGCCCCCGCGCGTCCCGCCCCGCGCCCCCCACCCGCATTTGTGCGGCCGGGCGCGCGTGCCCGCGCCTGTGTTGGCGATACGGGCATGATGGCTGGGACTGTGTCCAGAGCTATATGTCGACTCATGTTGGGCATGGCGATCGTCCCGTGGGCCCAACAATCGTGCGTTTGCGTTGTGATATGGACGAGTTGTACTATGTAGCTGCCTTGGGATGTGACTAATGGGTCGTCTATTGGGGATTGTTTAATGATCGGGTTATGATACTGCTTATGCTTGTCTTAAATTGCTTTATCTATTATGAACTGCTTTTCAACTGTTATATTGTTGCTGTGTCTGGACATTTACGTGTCGAGTCATTCCCGGGTTTTAAAGCTAGAGTTCGTAGGACTATATCTTCATGCTCAAAATGTTTTCGTATTTATATATATTGCTTATAGTGTATTTGAATTTCAACTAGCGTTGGAGTGGTTACCAAGCATCTCTCGCTGAACAGAATATTTGGCTTTCAAGGCCCAGAGGATTTAGAGGCACTGGAGCGCGCTAGAACGGAGCGGTAGAAGTGTGTAGTTTCCTTTCGGCGCTGCGTGCCATGTTATGCATTTATAATTTCGAGGGAGTTAGTTAGACAACCTGTGCACCTGGTACATGCTCACAGGCTCCGCACCAATCTCAGCCCTCTCCGCGTCGCGAAGGTACATGCTCAAGGGTCACTGTTTCTATACATATCCATAGTAGTAGTAGTAGTAGTAGTAGTAAGTAGTAGTACGTATAGTAGTAGTCATAGTATAGTATAGTAGTGTAGTAGTCAGTAGTAGTAGTAGTAGTCAGTAGTAGTAGTAGTAGTAGTAGTATAGTAGTAGTAGTTATAGTAAAATATAATATATAAAATAGATAAATAATAATAATAATAATGAATATAATCCTTAGCGACGTATCACTCTTTGGCAATCTTCTCACTCCGTGTTCACTCTCAGGCGCTCTCAGCCGTGCTGCCCTCCTCCAGTCCCTCCCCTCCGCCGTTTGCTGTCTGGTCATTCCGCCGTCTGCTGCCCTCCTCCAGTCTCCGATATAACATAATAAGATTTCCTAAATCCTTAGCGACGTATTCTCTCTGGCCGTCTTTGCCTCCGTCTTCACTCTCGGCGCTGCTCATCGCGTCTGCTGTCGCGGTCATCTATCGTCTGCTGGCCCTCGCTCCAGTCCTCGCCGTCTGCTGCCCTCCCGAGTCTCCGCCGTCTGGCTGCCCTCCTTCCAGTCCTCCGCCGTCTAGGCTGCCCTCCTCAGTCCTCCACCATCTGGCTGGCCCTCTCCGGTCGAGAAGGTACATGCTCACAAGCTCAGGTGTTTTCTATACTATATCCATAGTAATGTAGTAGTAGTAGTAGCTATAGTAGTAGTAGTAAGTAGTAATAATAACAAAATAATATAATAATAATTCATGAAATCTTGGCGACGTATTACCTCTTGCCATCTTCTTACTCCCTCTTCACTCTCCGGCCTCTCAGCCCGTCTGCCCTCCTCCATAGCTCTCCGCGTTTTGCTGTCCGTCATCGCCGTCTGCTGCCCTCCTCCAGTTCCTCGCAATAATAATAATAATACATTCGCTAAATCCTTAGCGACGTATTCCTCTATCTCATCTTCTCAACTCCGTCTTTCACTCTCGCGCGCCATCGCGCCGTCTGCGCCTCTTCCAGTCCTCCACCGTCTGGTGTCCGGTCATCTATCGGTCTGCTGCCCTCCTCCAGTCCTCCGGCGTCTGTGCCGGTCTCTTATCGTCCGCGCGTCTGTTTGCCCTCCTCCAGTTGCACCCAACCATCTGCTGCCCTCTCCGCGCGTCGACGAAGGTAATGTCAAGCTCATGTTTTCTATACATACTCTATAAGTAGTAGTAGTAGTTTGTAGTAGTAGTAGTAGTGTAGTAGTAGTAGAGTAGTAATAATAACAATAATTAATAACTAATAATAATAATTCAATAAATCTTAGCCGACGTATTTATCTCTTAGTCGTCTTCTAACTCCGTCTTTCACTCTCCCGCGCCCCTCACTGTCTACCTCCTCCAGTCCTCGCGTCTGATTGTCCCGGTCTCCCACGTCTACTGCGCCGTCAGTCCTCCGATAATAATATAAATAATTCCTAATCTTAGCGAACGTATTCACGATCTCCCTAGCCAGTCTCTCACTCCGTCTTCACTCTTCCGGCTCTGCATTTCGTCTGCCCTCCTCGGTCCCCACCGTCTTTGCTGTCGCGGTCATTCCGCCGTCTGCCCCGTCGCTCCAATCCTCCGATAATAATCAATAATAATTCCTAATCTTATCGACGTAATTTCACTCTCTGGCGTCTACTCACTCCGTCTTCACTCTCGCGCCTCGCCAGCAGCGTCTGCCCTCTTCCAGTCCCTCCGCCGTCTGCTGTCTGGTCATCTATCATCTGCTGCCCTTCCTCCGGTCTTCCGCCGTCTGCTGGCCCTCTCCCAGTTCCTCCGCCGTCTGCGGCCTCCCCAGTCCTCACAATCTGCTTCCTTCTCCGCGTCGACGCGAAGGTACATGTTCACAGCTCACTGTTTCTATACATATCCATAGTAGTATGTAGTAGTAGTATAGTAGTAGTAGTAGTAGTAGTAGTAGTTAGTAGTATATAGTATATATAATAATAATTAATAATATAATTAATATAATAATAATTCATAAATCCTTAGCGACGTATTCACTCTTTGCCATCTTCTCACTCCATCTTCAATTTCGCGCCTTCAGCCGTCTGCTCCTCCTCCAGTCTTCCGTCGTTTGCTGTCCGGTCTCGTCGCCGTCTGCTGCCCTCCTCTAGTCCTCGCGTCTGCTGCCCTCTCCAGTCCTCCACCATCTGTCTGCCCTCTTCCGCCATCGACGAAGGTACATGCTCACAGCTCAGTGTTTTTCTATACATATCCAAGTAGTAGTAGTAGTAAATAATAACAACAATAATAATAATAATAATTCATAAATCCTTAGCGACGTATTCACTCTTGCCATCTTCTCATTCGCGCCTCTCAGCCGTCTGCCCTCCTCCATTCTTCCGCCCGTTTGCTGTCCGGTAATCGCCTGTCTGTGCTCTTCCAGTCCTCCATAATAATAATAATAATTCCTAAATCCTTAGCAACGTATTCAGTCTATGCATTCTCCTCGTCTTCACTCTCGGCGCTCTCGCAGCGTTCTCCCTTCCACGTCCTCGCGTCTGCTGTCCGTCTCTATCGTCTGGCTGCATCCTCCAGTCCTCCGCGTCTGCTGCCTCCTCCTCCAGTCGCTCCGCCGTCTGCTGCCGGTCTCCGCCGTTGCTGGCCCTCGCCGCTGCTCCAGTCTCGATCATAATAATAAATAATTCCTAAATCCTTAGCGACGTATTCACTCTCTGCGCGTCTTCTCACTCCGTCTTACTTTCCGCGCCTCTCAGCCGTCTGCCTTCCTTCGTCCTCCGCCGTCTGCTGTCCGGTCATCCGCGTCTGCTGCCCTCCTCCATTCCTCCGCCGTCTGCTGCCCTCCTCCAGTCCTCCACCATTCTGTTGCCTCTCCGCTGTCGACGAAGGTACATGCTCACTGCTCACTGTTTCTATACATATCCATAGTAGTATAGTAGTAGTAGTTAGTAGTAGTAGTAGTAGTAGTAGTAGTAGTAGTAGTAGTAAAATAATTATAATAATAATAATAATAATATTAATAATATAATAAATTCATAAATCCTTAGCGACGTCTTCACTCTCCGGCACCTCTCAGCGGTCTGCCCTCCTCTAGTACTCCGCCGTTTGCTGTCTGGTCATTCCGCCGTCTGCTGCCCTCCTCCAGTGTCCGATAATAATAATAATAATTCCTAAATCCATAGCGAAGTATTCCACTCTCTGCGTCTTCTCACTCCGTCTTCACTCCGGCGCCTCGCAGCCGTCTGCCCTCTTCCAGTCCTCGCGCGTTGCTGTCCGGTCATCTATCGTCTGCTGCCTCCTCCAGTCCTCCGCCGTCTACTGCCTCCTCCAGTCCTCCACCATCTGCTGCCCTCTCTGCCGTCGACGAAGGTACATGCTCACCAGCCTCACTTTTCTATCATATCCATAGTAGTAGTAGTAGTAGTAGTAGATAGTAGTAGTAGTAGTAGTAGTAGTAGTAGTAGTAGTAGTAGTAGTAGTAGTAGTGTAGTAGTAGTAGTAGTAATAATAATAATAATAATAATAATATAATAATAATAATAAATAATAAAATAATTCATAAATCTTAGCGACTTATTCACTTCTTCGCCATCTTCTTACTCCGTCTTTGCACTCCGCGCCTCTCAGCCGTCTGCCATCCTCCAATCCTCTCCGTATACTGTCCGGTCATCCGGCTCTGCTGCCCTCCTCCAGTCCTCCGCCGTCTGCTGCCCTCTCCAGTCCTCCACCATCTGCTGCCCTCTCCGCGTCGACGAAGGTACATGCTCACAGCTCACTGTTTCTATACATATCCATAGTAGTAGTTTGTGTAAGTAAATAATATAATAATTCATAATCATTAGCGCACATATTCACTCTTGTCATCTTCTCACTTCCGTCTTCACTCTCGCGCGCTTCTCAGCCCTCTGCCTCGCTTTAGTCCTACCGCCGTTCTGTCCGGTCATCCGCCGTCTGTTGCCCTCGCTCCAGTCCTCGCCGTATGGCTGCCCTCTCCAGGTCTCCCACCATCTGCTGCCTCTCTCGCCGTCGACGAATGTAATGCTCACAGCTCACTGTTTCTATACATATCCATAGTAGTAGTGTAGTAGTAGTAGTCAGTAGTAATAATAATAATAATAATTACATAATCCTTAGCGACGTATTCACTTTTTGCCGTCTTCTCACTCCGTCTTCACTCTCTGCGCCCCTCAGCTGTCTGCCCCCCTCCAGTCTCCGCCGTCTGTTATTCGGTCATCCGCCGTCTGCTTGCCCTCCTTCAGTCCTCCGATAATAATAATAATTATTCCTAAATCCTTAGCTAGTATTCACTCCTCTGCCGTCTTTTCACTCCGTCTTCACATTCCGCGCCTCTTAGGCGTCTGCCTCTCTCCAGTCCTCCGCCGTCTGCTGTCGGTCATCCGCCGTCTTCTGCCCTCTTCAGTCCTCCGCCGTCTGCTGCCCCCTCCAGTCCTCCACCATATGCTGGCCTCTCGGTCGACGAAGGTACATGCTAACAGAATCACTGTTTTATACATATCCAATAGTAGTAGTAGTAGTAGTAGTAGTAATAGTAATAATAATAATAATAATAATAATAATAATAATAATAATAATTCATAAATCCTTAGCGACGTATTCACTCTTCGCCATCTTCTCACTGCGTCTTCACTCTTCGCGCCTCTCAGCCGTTGCCCTTCCTCCAGACTCCGCCGTTTCTGTCCGGTCATCCGCCGTCTACTGCCCTCCTCCAGTCTCTCCGATAATAATAATATAATTCCTAATCCTTAGCGACGTATTCACTCTCTGGCCATCTTCTCACTTCGTCTTCACTCTCGCGCCTCGCAACCGTTCTGCCCCTTCCAGTCCTCCGCCGTCTGCTGTCCGGCCATCTATCGTCTGCTGTGCCCACCTCCATCCTCCGCCGTCTGCTGCCCTCCTCCAGTCCTCCCCATCTGCTGCCCTCTCCGCCGTCGACGAAGGTACATGCTCAGAGCTCACTGTTTCTATAACATATCCATAGTAGTTGTAGAAAGTAGTAGTAGTAGTAGTAGTAAGTAGTAGTAGTAAATAATAATAATAATAATAATAATTCATAAATCTTTTCGACGTATTCACTCTTTGCCATCTCTACATCCGTCTTCACTCTCCGCGCCTCTCAGCCGTCTGCCCTCCTCCAGTCATCCGCCATCTGTGTCCGGTCATCCGCGCGTCTGCTGCCCTCCTCCAGTCCTCCCGCCGTTTGCTGCCCTCCTCCAGTCTCCCACCATCTGCCTGCCCCTCTCCGCCGTCAACGAAGGTACATGCTCACAGCTCACTGTTTCTATACATATATAGTTGTAGTAGTAGTAGTAGTAATAATAATAATAATATAATTCATAAATCCTTAGGTGCGTATTCACTTTTGCCATCTTCTCATCCGTCTTCATCTCGCGCGCCTCTCAGCGCTGCCCTCTTCCAGTCCTCCGCGTCTGCTGTCCGGTCATCTATCGTCTGCTGCCCACACACAGTCTCCGCCGTCTGCTGCCCTCCTCCAGTCCTCCACATCTGCTGCCTCTCCGCCGTCGACGAAGGTACATGCTCAGCAGCTCTGTTTCTATACATATCCATAGTAGTAGTAGAAGTAGTAGTAGTAGTAGTAGTAAGTAATAATAATAATAATAATAATTCATAAATCATTTTCGACGTATTCACTCTTGCCATCTTCTCACTCCGTCTTCACTCTCCGCGCCTCTCACCGTCTGCCCTCCTCGCAGTCTCCCGCATCTGCTGTCCGTCATCCGCCGTCGTGCTGCCCTCCTGCCATCCTCCGCCGTTTGCTGCGCCCTCCAGTCTCCACCATCTGCTGCCCTCTCGGCCGTCAACGAAGGTACATAGCTCACAGCTCACTGTTCTATACATATCTATAGTTTAGTAGTAGTAGTAGTAATAATAATAATAATAATATTCATAAATCCTTAGATGGCGTATTCACTCTTTGCCATCTTCTCACTCCGTCTTCACTCTCGCGCGCCTCGCAGCCGTCTGCCCTCTCCAGTCCTCCGCCGTCTGCTGTCCGGTCATCTATCGTCTGCTGCCTCCTCCAGTCCTCGCCGTCTACTGCCCTCTCCCAGTCCTCCACCATCTGCTGCCCTCTATGCCGTCGACGAAGGTACATGCTCACAGCTCACTTGTTTCTATACATATCCATAGTAGTAGTAGTAGTAGTAGTAGTGTAGTAGTAGTAGTAGTAAGTAGTAGTAGTAGTAGTAGTAATAGTAGTAGTAATAATAATAATAATAATAATAATAATAATAATAATAATAAATAATAATTCATAAATCCTTAGCTACGTATTCACTCTTTGCCATCTTCTCACTCCGTCTTCCATCTCCGCGCTCTCAGCCGTCTGCCTCTCCTTTAATCCTCCGCCGTCTGCTGTCAGGTCATCCTCCGTCTGCTGGCCCTCCTCCAGTCCTCCGCCGTCTGCTGCCCTCTCCGCCGTCGACGGAAGGTACATGGTCACAGCTCCTGTTTCTATACATATCCATAGTAGTAGTAGTAGTAGTAGTAGTAGTAGTAATAACAATAATAATATAATAATAATAATAATAATAATATAATAATATAATGAATTCATAAATCCTTTGCGACGTATTCACTCTTTGCCATCTTCTCACTCCGTCTTCACTCTCCGCGCCTCTCAGCTGTCTGCCATCCTCCAGTCTTCCGCCATCTGCTGTCCGGTCATCCGCCGTCTGCTGCCCTCCTCCAGTCCTCCGCCGTCTGCTGCCCTCCTCCAGTCCTCCACCATCTGCCTGCCCCTCTCCGTCGTCGACGAAGGTACATGCTAACAACTCACTGTTTCTATACATATCCATAATAGTAGTAGTAGTAGTAGTAGTAGTAGTAGTAGTAATAATAATAATAATAATAATAATAATAATAATAATAATTCATAAATCCTTAGCGACGTATTCACTCTTTGCCATCTTCTCACTCCGTCTTCACTCTCCGCGCCTCTCAGCCGTCTGCCCTCTTCCAGTCCTCCGCCGTCTGCTGTCCGGTCATCTATCGTCTGCTGCCCACAACCAGTCCTCCGCCGTCTGCTGCCCTCCTCCAGTCCTCCACCATCTGCTGCCCTCTCCGCCGTCGACGAAGGTACATGCTCACAGCTCACTGTTTCTATACATATCCATAGTAGTAGTAGAAGTAGTAGTAGTAGTAGTAGTAGTAATAATAATAATAATAATAATTCATAAATCATTTTCGACGTATTCACTCTTTGCCATCTTCTCACTCCGTCTTCACTCTCCGCGCCTCTCAGCCGTCTGCCCTCCTCCAGTCCTCCGCCATCTGCTGTCCGGTCATCCGCCGTCTGCTGCCCTCCTCCAGTCCTCCGCCGTTTGCTGCCCTCCTCCAGTCCTCCACCATCTGCTGCCCTCTCCGCCGTCAACGAAGGTACATGCTCACAGCTCACTGTTTCTATACATATCTATAGTTGTAGTAGTAGTAGTAGTAATAATAATAATAATAATAATTCATAAATCCTTAGGTGCGTATTCACTCTTTGCCATCTTCTCACTCCGTCTTCACTCTCCGCGCCTCGCAGCCGTCTGCCCTCTTCCAGTCCTCCGCCGTCTGCTGTCCGGTCATCTATCGTCTGCTGCCCTCCTCCAGTCCTCCGCCGTCTACTGCCCTCCTCCAGTCCTCCACCATCTGCTGCCCTCTATGCCGTCGACGAAGGTACATGCTCACAGCTCACTGTTTCTATACATATCCATAGTAGTAGTAGTAGTAGTAGTAGTAGTAGTAGTAGTAGTAGTAGTAGTAGTAGTAGTAGTAGTAGTAGTAATAGTAGTAGTAATAATAATAATAATAATAATAATAATAATAATAATAATAATTCATAAATCCTTAGCTACGTATTCACTCTTTGCCATCTTCTCACTCCGTCTTCACTCTCCGCGCCTCTCAGCCGTCTGCCCTCCTTTAATCCTCCGCCGTCTGCTGTCAGGTCATCCTCCGTCTGCTGCCCTCCTCCAGTCCTCCGCCGTCTGCTGCCCTCTCCGCCGTCGACGAAGGTACATGGTCACAGCTCACTGTTTCTATACATATCCATAGTAGTAGTAGTAGTAGTAGTAGTAGTAGTAATAATAATAATAATAATAATAATAATAATAATAATAATAATAATAATTCATAAATCCTTTGCGACGTATTCACTCTTTGCCATCTTCTCACTCCGTCTTCACTCTCCGCGCCTCTCAGCTGTCTGCCATCCTCCAGTCTTCCGCCATCTGCTGTCCGGTCATCCGCCATCTGCTGCCCTCCTCCAGTCCTCCGCCGTCTGCTGCCCTCCTCCAGTCCTCCACCATCTGCTGCCCTCTCCGTCGTCGACGAAGGTACATGCTAACAACTCACTGTTTCTATACATATCCATAATAGTAGTAGTAGTAGTAGTAGTAGTAGTAGTAGTAGTAGTAGTAATAATAATAATAATAATAATAATAATAATAATAATAATAATTCATAAATCCTTAGCGACGTATTCACTCTTTGCCATCTTCTCACTCCGTCTTCACTCTCCGCGCCTCTCAGCCGTCTGCCCTCCTCCAGTCCTCCGCCGTTTGCTGTCCGGTCATCCGCCGTCTGCTGCCCTCCTCCAGTCCTCCGATAATAATAATAATAATTCCTAAATCCTTAGCGACGTATTCACTCTTTGCCGTCTTCTCACTCCGTCTTCACTCTCGGCGTCTCGCAGCCGTCTGCCCTCTTCCAGTCCTCCGCCGTCTGCAGTCCGGTCATCTATCGTCTTCTGCCCTCCTCCAGTCCTCCGCCGTCTGCTGCCCTCCTCCAGTCTTCCACCGTCTGCTGCCCTCCCCCAGTCCTCCACCATCTGCTGCCCTCTCCGCCGTCGACGAAGGTACATGCTCACAGCTCACTGTTTCTATACATATCTATAGTATTAGTAGTAGTTGTAGTAGTAGTAGTAGTAGTAGTAGTAGTAGTAGATGTAGTAGTAGTAGTAGTAATAATAATAATAATAATCATAATTCCTAAATCCTTAGCGACGTATTTACTCTTTGCCGTCTTCTCACTCCGTCTTCACTCTCCGCGCCCCTCAGTTGTCTGCCCTCCTCCAGTCCTCCGCCGTCTGCTGTCCGGTCATCCGCCGTCTGCTGCCCTCCTCCAGTCCTCCGATAATAATAATAATAATTCCTAAATCCTTAGCGACGTATTCACTCTCTGCCATCTTCTCACTCCGTCTTCACTCTCCGCGCCTCTCAGCCGTCTGCCCTCCTTCAGTCCTCCGCCGTCTGCTGTCCGGTCATCCGCCGTCTGCTGCCCTCTTCCAGTCCTCCGCCGTTTGCTGCCCTCCTCCAGTCCTCCACCATCTGCTGCCCTCTCCGCCGTCGACGAAGGTACATGCTCACAGCTCACTATTTCTATACATATCCATAGATAATGTTTCTTAATACTGTGATAAAGGTTGAAACCATTTTAAAGATTCGTAACAAAGCATTCGTGAAATATAAATTGGGTGATGTGTATAGATCTTGGTAAAGATCTTAGTTCCTACTTTATGCAACAATACTTGTATGACTAATCTTATTAGACTCAATGATTTCGCCATTTTATTTAAAAAATTTAATGGCGTATCTGTTAAAACATCTAGTCAAACATGATTTCCTTCTAGCATCATAACAAGGTTCACTAATAAACTCCTCAATTTTATGTACTTGGAGATTTCCTGTCAGCACAACAAGAAATTTATTTATGAGCTCATTTGAAGTGATGATCTATAATTCTCTATGAAAAACACCTTCAGTAAATGCTGTTGCTTGCAGACTATAATCTCAGTTGCACAATCTACTAGTCAGTTCTAACATATCTGGATGTTTCTTCCCTGAATTGTATTACACTAGTTTTAGTTGCACTGGCTTTATCCAAAAACGTTTCTGCTTTATCTCTTGGGTTCAGTTGCAGTGAACTCAACTTTATGGTTGGTTAACAATATATAGGTACCACTGGTTCTGAACA